TTGCGGTCCTTTTTTTTTTTTTTTTTTTTAACAATATGGGGGACGAGCGGTTAGAAAGAAGATCAGCTATCATGGCAACTTATTAATTTTAACATTTTTTAGTCAACAAAGGTTTATCACTAATCTAGCTTAGAACATTTCAGTCCGTGTTAAAGCTTTCATATCCTGTCTTATCGTCATCGGTTTTAGGCCAATTTCAGTCTCTGCCAACGATGGGAGATGGCACCACATTTGCCTCACATGGCGAAGCTCAAATGGCTCATGGAATTTTTATAAGGACGGAACGCTTGCTGCGTCTGGCTCACCGTTGAATGCAAGGCACGTGATTAAGGCAGGAGGATGTCTTGTTCTGGGTCAATCCCAAAAAGACGTTTGTGGTGTTTTCAAAGCGGACAAGAGATTTTTTGGCCTTTTAGCAAACGTCAACATTTGGGACCAGGTACTTTCTTACACCACCATTACTGCAATGTCTCATTCCTGCTATTCTGGTATTGGAAATGTTGTCCAGTGGCTCGACTTCAGCGACGCTGTCATGGGCAATGTAGAGGTGACGCCCTCAACCTGTAAACCTGAAACTTAAAGTACACCTACTTGGCGGTATAGTCAGCCACTCAACGAAGATGTATTGTTTAAATATAAATTATCGTGGGTATACGTATTATGGTCGTTCCAAGAGATATCAAAGACAGTGCTAACGAAAAATTTGGGGTGACAAACAAGGTGTATTATAAGAGATGTACAAATGGCGAATGTGAATAAGTTTCAGTCTTTCTCAAAAAAATAAGCTTCTGATGAGAATTATTTGAGACCTAGGAAACTTATAATGTCAAATAGCGCTTACAAGAGTCAGGTTCTAAGTTTTTCTTATTTTAATGTAATCGAGGCAAAGCCCAGTTTCTCGAAAGTGCCACATGCTTCAGTCAGTTAGCTGCCATTCCTTTCCTATTTAAGTGAATAAACGAACCGTTTTGCATCGATTCAGTACATTTTAGGCTCACATACTTCATGAGTCATGTAACTGAAATATAGCGTGAAAAATATTTGTCATGATTTTAATAGAAGTCAGCCACAAGCTTGGTAACACCTCTGATCCCCGATTTTTCGTGTCAAAGACAGAGTGAAATCAGTCTAAATCGATGGAAAAATGACTGCAGAAATGTTATTTTTGTGTCAGGATAAATCTTAGCCCGCATGCAAATTTTCGCAAGTATGTCCATAGGCCTTCTCGAAAAATACATTTCGGTGCCGTATTTGAGACGAACAGCCAGGTCCTGGCCACATGTGGTTCAAGCGAATTCTTATATTGGCTACTTTGGAGATATTTTTGGTCGTAAAGAAACTGCTTTTCGGAATAGGTCTATTTGATGGAAAAGGTTTCAAAAATCCAGCTAGATGTAGTTTGTACTGTTTCCTTACTCATGTGTCTTGCCAAAACTGTGCTTAACTTGTGGGTGGCTCCTCCTTAAACGTTCCAATAAGGCCAAAACAAATATTTCCAAGAGATGTAACCTTCAACCGGGCAAGAACTAACGCGCAATCTGTCTGATGGCTGAAGCCCCTTTCAGAAACAATCATCGCGGAGAAACAGCTAGGCTTCTGAGTAGGGCGCAATACAAAAGAGCGTTTCCTCAAAATGACTACTGTGTGAGAGGTACCTCACGTATTGGACAGAGTATGGCATGAAGTCCTCTGGCATACTATTTGGCTTGATAAAACTTAAATGCCAACCTAATCCGAGTTGTAGAGAACCTCTGCAACAAGGCCACCAGTACTATCTACCTTTATGGCGGCAAACGAAGCTGGTACAGAACGACGGTCGGAGTCAGACATACAAGGCTGTCTCCTCTCACCAACTCCTTTTCACATCTTTCTGAAGGAAATTAGGACTAACACACTAGAAGATCACAAAGGAATATTCAGCATCGGAGGCAGAATAATCACCAACCTACGTGTTCCCGAGGAACTGAACTCTCTAGTGGATCACCTGGACAAGATCTCTACGCCCTTTGGCAGGGAGATTAGAGCAGAGAAGACCAAACAACACAGGTACAGTCGTCCAATCCTGAAGTACTTTTCAGAACTGCACATAAGGCAGCAACAATATTGAAACTGAAAACCATCTGAAACGGCAAGAATATCGCCTTAGCTCAAAGGTCAAACTGATGCACTCTCTGGTTTTCTCGTACCCTTGTACGCCTGCGAAACCTTGACATAGACAGCGGACGTCCAGGAGAAATTGCAGGCCCCTGAGATGAAATACTTTAGTAAACTGCTTGGCATCTCGTACAAAGAGTCATCAATAACGAAACAGTCAGAGACAGAAGCAGGGAAAGCCATCGGGCCCTAAGATGACATTTTAACCACGCAAAAGTGGTTTGGGCATGTATCAAGGTCAGTAGGGCTCACGCCCCTCAAGATAATCTTACAAGGAAAAGTGCCCGGAGAGAAAAGAAGAGGAAGACAAAATAAGCGCTGGGAGAATAAAATTTGATTAGACAGGGTTGAAGTTCGTGGCGCCCCAACGGTCATCATGGCAAGGGGATAGGTGCAAGGTGTACTGATGCCTCAAAAGATATTTCAAGCAACATTAGTTATCTATCGATCCTAAATATAATTACAAAGTTATTTATGGTAAAAATGACAAAATCTGTAACCTCAACAAGTGAATCATATACCACACGCCTTCAATCCCACCCCTTGCACAACCCTTTATAGCCTGTGGCGCTTTAAGTTGCCACCAAGTACACCAGGATGTTCTCGTGGCCTTCCTGACTACGGAAACTGAAGTCACTAAAGCCTGGTTTTCATTAGCGCATAAGCATAAGCACAAGCACACGTGTAAGCAAGGGAGAACACCGGCGTAAGCATAAAGCAGAAGCATAAGCATACCAGAAGAAGAACGGACATGTTCATTCTTCTTGTGCGTATGCTTATGTCGTAGCTTTGACTGGTGAGAACCGGGTCGACATAAGCACAGGCATAAGCACAAAGGCCTGGACCAATCTTAGGACACTTTGACCCAGAACTCATGCGAAAGTATCAAAAGCAATGTGGCGTACGTATGTCCCTATGCTTATGTTTGTGGCTATGCTTATACGCTAGTGAAAACCAGGCTTAAAAGAACCTGTTTAGATAACGACCTGGAAAGATAAAGCCTGAACAGGATTTCCGCATTGTGGGGGAGCGCTGGATGACAAAAAAGCAAACGAGCAACAACAACAAAAGAGATCAGTTTATTGTTTAAGGCAGGCTTATCTCATACATGTACGTTCCTCAATAAGAATTCGTGGTGCCCATAATGTCCTCCCATTCGTATTGGGCTTAATTCGCGATGCGCTGTTAAAAATCTCATGCCCACCTCACGTTCTCTCCCAATCCAAAGGTAAATCCAACCAATTTTGATGCCAGCTATATACCATTCTAATGATACCTTGTAAGTCCTTCCGAATGTATGCATATTGTGATTAATCAGGCGTGATATGGCTGCCCGCTCTTAATGTCTGGCTCTTAACATCGCAGATTATGGTACTTTGTTTACTATTTACAGGGGAAAACCGGTTGGTTCACGCTTTGGGTAGGTGGTAAGCAAAATCCAGGACTGGTAACTTTTGCTCCAGAATCGCGTTTACTATTTGTACAAATCAGTTCCATTTACCGAAAAGCGGACACGAAGACCTGAGACGAATCAAAAATGGCTTTGAAGAAAAGAAACACGAATTTCCATATGGAACATTCCGTCCGAAAAAAACAGGACGACCTTTTCCGGATTTTCCGCTGGAACGAGCCAAAAAGTAGTATTCCATTTACTTTCCAACTGGATTTTTTGGAAACGTTTTGTAAATGTTAGTAGTGTGGCTGTTTGCTGAATTTTAGTTTTTACTGGTTACGTTAAAAGAAAGTGACTCTTCCAGTAGACAGCGGCCCAGACGTCCCAGTCGGCGATTATTTCCTACAAATGAAAACTCAAATTTATACCGTCAGGGGCGTCCGCGATGGAAATCCTCTTAACATTGTTGGGCTGCAGCCCCCTGTCACACATACAACATCGTGTCTCTCGAGAATCTGTCAGACTTCTGGCGATTACCCAATATATCGGCAAAATCTGGGACGGTCAGACAAAAGTAAAATCCTCGATCGTCTTGGATCTTTCCGACATTTAAAAACCAAGTTTTAAGAGAACATAGACTGTACTGCATTGAAAACTACTGAACATCTAAAAAGTATTCACCCGGGCACAATTACCTTTGTAGCTTACAAACATTATGCTTTTGGGCAAAGATGATAAACACAAATAGTGTGATTTTGATACCAAATTCCCCGTTCAACTGATAATTTAATTGCATGCCATCTTGCATTCTATCACATTAAGGACTACAAACGAAAATACTGAATGTTACCGCAAGGTTAACTTAAATAAATTCAAGGCTGTTTGATGAGGCACCATCATTGGTTAAATATACTTCTAAAGCATGTTTATCTTCTAGTTAAGCGCCACTCTCTCTGCACTGTTCAGACGAACCGCCCTTTCAACATGCGACCACTGACTTTTGGACTTACATCAGGGGAAACCAGCATAGTGCCATTCGAATTCACCAAACTATGAGTTACCCGCGTAACAGAAGTAGTGCTGTCACAGGTGAAATCTTGTAACAGCACATGCTGACCCTCACTCTGCGATAACTTTCGGTTAAACAGTTCTGCCAATGCTTCTTTGAATTCTGGAATCCTAAAGGTGTACACTGCAGCGTTCATAAACGAGTTACTATAGTGTAAAAACTTAATAAAGCACACCATGTTTGCGGGAAAAGTACATGTTTTGCAAAAATGTACTAAAATAAAGATGAGCTGAAACGGAAGCCAGGAGAGAACGAAAATGGCAGTTACACATAGCAAAGTGATGCTTAGTCGGCGTTCAACGGTCATGTTCTTGCAGTTTTTAGCACTGTTATTTTTCTGATTAATTTTATACACTATGGTTACGTAAGCAAAGCTTACAACCGACAAAGGAAGTGACAGAGACAAAATCACCACAGTGTAGAAACTTTCTTTAACTACCCGAAAGTAAAAGGCGATACCAATGGATGCCACACATCCGGAAAGGAACCAAGTGGCTGCGATGCAGATGAAATAAACCTTCCTGGGAATCATTCGAAACTTGTAAGGAATAGACACCGCCACAAGTCTTTCTACAGAGACGATTGCCAATGTGAATACAGAAGACAGCCCAGAAAGTATGTCAAACGTTGAATGTACTATCCGCAGTGCTAAACTCTGTCCCCACGTCTCGAGATCCACCAGGCAAACGACAAATAGCGGAACTGAGATGGCACCAACCAGGAGGTCAGCAATAGACAAGTTCATGAGAAAGTAATGCGTGTTTTTACGACGAGGTCTGGTTTTTACAAAGGCCACTAAGGCCATTGTGTTTGTCAGAATAATCAAGATGGACACAACACCATAAGATGTCCCCCAGAAGGCTGCTTCAACGCTTGATAGTTGTGCTTGCGACGAGCTACTCACTGCCAGGGAAACCGATGAATTGTTCATCTTTTCTCTGACGGAAAAAAATAATAACAATAA